GGCTAACTCACAGATCAAACCCTGAAACAACCTCTGGGCTGATCTAAGTCAGGGCATGGCTAACTCACAGATAGAACCCTGAAACAACCTCTGGGCTGACCTAAGTCAGGGCACGGCTATCTCACAGATCAAACTCATACAGAACTCCACTTCCATGTGATGCTGTGTGCATACAGGAATCAAACCTGTGTTAACACCTGTGTAGCCTGTTGCACCATTTCTATTTGTCCCCTGTGTATCTGGATACTGGTCAACAGTCTTCCAAACAACTTGAACAAAAACCATCCAGTAAACCTTGAAAAAATATTATAATAATAAATATAATTAGACTACTAGATCAACCCTTCTCCACTTTGTTCCATGGTATTAGGGACCAATTTTTACAGGCATGAGGGGAGGGGTGGGGGATGGGGGCATTTAGGGAGGGCCACGTAAAAAAATTAGGCATTTAAGAGGGGGGCACCCAAAAACATAATTCACTACTGTAAATAGAAAATTTATTTTTAAAAAAACTTCTGTCTTAATAAGGGGCCAAGTAAACAAAATTCAGGTTGGGAAGAGCTCATATTTTTTTTACCTACAATTTACAAAATCTCACCAGCCCCCTCATGTCTGTAAAAAATGAACGGTCCCTTATTATTAACTATTGGCAATAGTCTAATACCTGATCAATTTTCTGTAAATTCCGGCCGCCATCCTATTGATAATTTCATTAGCTTTCTTCGTTAAAGAGGTTATTTGCTGCTGTCTTGCCTTGTCCAGTGACTTTAATTCTTTTTCAGTTACTAAATAGTAAAACATTAAAGCAATAGGGACGTGTAAGTATGTAATATGTAAAACTCCTCTTTCTTAATTTTGTCTTGTTCTTACAGTAGTATATAAACACTCATTTCTACCACCTCTGATGTGGTGATGCAACATTGATGATAAACCACTAGTTGGATTTGACTAAGACCAAACAAAATATTTAAAAAAGTGTGCTTCCTGTTGCATGAGAAAAATAATTGGGGTCGGTAGGTCAGAGTTTTTAAAAATATTAGTGATACAACAGTGGAAATGAGCTTACTGGGAACCCTGTGGTGCATTTGGGAATGAAAAAATATTAGGGTCGGCAAAAATTGGCAAGAAAATTAGGGTTGGTCGTGCAACACACTTGTTTGGCCTAATACATGTAAGTACTATTCTCGTAAAAGGGACTATGGGAAGGTACATTTTTATTGGAGGGGGGGGGGGGGGGGTTGGCTGGGACTTTAGAGGGGAAAGCCTCCTTACAATTTTGACATTTTTTTAAGGGTCAAACCCTTTTATTTTGACAAAACCATTTTCAATGTACTAGGAAGGTCATGGAATTCTTACTGAGTGTAAGGGTGAGGGTTACAACCATTCACAGAAAGTTTACTGCGAATCCACCCTCCCCCCTCCCCCTCCCAATAAAATTTATACCCTACCTACTAGGTATTTTATTTTCTTATAGCCTAGTAGATGAGATTTATTAAAATCAGTTATGATCAAATATCTCAAAAGAAAAACAGGTAAAACAATTTTATGCAAAAAAAACCAAAACAATTACATTGTGCTGCGTTGTTCCCATTTGCTGATTCTTGAAAAACTGAATTCATTATACAATTCTGAACCCTGTGAAAAAAAACACTTATTGTTAGACTCTTAGGGTTTGAAATAAATTTTCATAGAAACAGGTGGGACAATGCTCAGGGTTGGAGTCCTACAAGTACAGTGTAACACCAAACTGACTACAGCCAGTGCAAGGCAGATGATACTATAGCTAATGTCCTTAGTCCTACCTCTCAGAATTCACTACGGATTTCTTGACATCAGGGAAGTCATAACTAACATCACAATTCCAGATAAAAGTCATATGACAGAAGGTTCTTCTAAAAAGATTCTGTCTGTTAGATAAAAAGACAAATTGAAATTATCAATACAAAGAGGATATTAAATTTATTTCAATGTTAAGTCAGGCATATGGTACGAAAATCAAAAGAGGATGGCCCAGGGGAGGAAGAAAACCAGTAAGGAAGGAAGGAATGGAGAGAGTAGGAATTGGAAAGTGGGAAAAATTATGAATGGAATGTGTACATGTAGTTCCAGAAATTATCCATACCCACACCCAAAATTAAATAGAGGCAGCTAGTCCACATTAGATTTACGCACTAATTTTAATATAAGATAAAGTAACTAGACTTACTTGTGATATACAGCAATGTTTAAAATGTTATGCATTCCTCTGCTAGGTATTCTGTCATGGTACAATAACTGCAAGATTAATACGAGAAAACTGTCAAAAAATGTCATTGATTACAAATTTATCGATGGTTTTCTCAGAATTGTTATCTCAGAATTCCCTTGAAAATAATGAGTCCCTTGGGACAAACATTTTTTCTCAGAATTTTGTGTTTTCAGGAGAATAGTATCCATGGAAACAATGAATCATTTGGGGCAAACATTTTTTTTCCTCAGAATTTTGACTTCCTGATGAAACACCAACAGAAACGAGTGTTTAGATTATAGATTCTCAAATATTGACTTGACACTTGGGACCCCAATTCGAGATCATGCTGGTCCCAGAATCAATAATAATATAAGCAGTGACCTGACCTGTTGGACTCAAGGCCATGAAAGACAACGCATTATGAAATAACTGTTAGAAATCTCATGTTCTAATTGGTTGGGATCGCATGCTTAATGAAAGCACACAGCATGCGCGCTCACTTTCAGTTGTGTCATTCCTATACAAAATAGCGGTTGTCGAAATTAGGATTTTATAAAAGAAATAAAAAACTTGCTTGCTGTGCTGTGTGTAGTCATAAAGCACTTGGGGATTGGCAGAACACTTGAGAAGTGTCAAGAAACACTCCGCTACGTGTCATGCATCTCCTAACACTTCTCTTGTGTTCTGCCAACCCCTGCGTGCTTTATAACTGCACACAGCATGCACGTGCCTTTTCTATTTATTTTTTTGCATCGTACGCCACCCAATAAAAAATTCCATCAAGATTTAAACATGCTAGCAAGACCCTTGTTATAAGAAGGATGTTTAATGCATACCTGTACGCTGTCAGAGCAACAGGTTTTACAGCCCTTCCCCATGAATGGTCTTTCTCGGCTGAACTCTCCTGGGATTATTGCTGGCGGTACTTGGAACTTCCTCTCCACTGGAAGCATAGGCTCAAAATCATCCTGCTGATAAAAGAAAACAGAAATCTTTTGAGTCATGTTCTCACATAAGGGTAAGTATAAGATGTATAATTGTGCTGTTTTTGTTTTGTTTTGTTTTTTGTTTTTTTCCACCACTGTTTTTCTCTCTTTTCTTTAATACCTATTATGAAACTAGCGGATATTTTGATTACAAAATACAAAGAAATATATGGAGCGATGTTTAGTGTTGAGATAAGTGGAATCACTACTGACTCCTTTAATGATTCGCAAAAATATAATAATTCCCATATAAAAGTGCTGTTATCATATACAACTATTTCAAAAAAGGTTGGAGAAGGTTTTGCATGTTGTATGTTGCATGTTGCGTGTTGCATGTTGCTTGTTGCATGTTGCATGTTGC